GTTAGTACTAAAATTATAACTAAGCTAAGAAAGAAGATTATTTTCTCTTATAATAATTCTTCTTATATATATCAGTGATCAGTTATTATCTTTATTAAAAATAAATTATTATCTTTCTTAAATCTTCATTATATTTTCTGAATTTACTTGTTTTACTTGTTTTACTTCTATTAAAGATTTATAAACTCTTTAAGAAATCACTGTGAATTACAAAGTCTATATTATTTATAATTCAATATAAAATACTCTCTTTTAATTATAATGAATAATCACTTTATTCTTCATATCTGATTTCAGGTTATAAAATTTATGAAAAACTCAATATAAATATTAAGATGAACTATGAAATAATTATTAATAGATTGTATTATAGATTACTGAAGAGTTATCTCTCTACTATAATTACTGTAACTTTATTCAGAAATATTCATTATAAACTAATTATAGCTCTGATGAAATTTTCTAATATCTGAAGTTATCAGAATACAGATAATAAAAGAAAAATAATTAGAAAATTACTACTAAGCTGATAAGTTACTCTATCAGATAATAATTTTTAATAATACTAACTTTCTAATTTAAAGAAAATTATATAAAAATAATTATATATCAGTATTCTGATTTTATAACTCTTATCTGATAACTTTCATGAATAATTATTTTATATATATATATCTCTGAATCTTTCTCTTTAATTAATTCAATACTCTGAATTCTGAACACTTCTTCAAATACTTAATTCAAATATTCATATTTCATATCAATTATATCTTCAGTTCAATCTTGAGATATACTATAAAGTTAATATACAATATCTAGAATCAGAGTTAAAGAATTATCAAAGAGTGTCTCTTACAGTGAATATATAAACTAGTACAAATAATCTTACATTTATAAGAGTTATATGTTATTATATTAATGAGAACTGAACTTATTTAAGAGACATTAATTGAATTTAAATCATTGATCAGTAGTTATACTGAGAATTATATAGCAGAGATATTAATAATAGTGATTAAAAATAACTATTAAAAGATTAGTCTCAGTCTTCTTATAATTATAACTGATAATACTGTAATAACTATACTATAATGAAGAGCTTAGAGTAAAAATTAACTTTATATTT